ACAATTGGCGAAGGGAGAAATAGATCTCCACGCCGGGAATGGAGCAAAAGTTGTTGCATTAACCGTCGGGACTTACGATCTGACTTTACCTTCTGGCCTTGTATTGGAGTTGCATGATTGTTATTTTGTACCTGCCATCAGCAGGAACATTATATCGATTTCATGTTTAGACTCGGATGGTTTCAGATTTGTTATTCAGAACAAATGTATGTCCATTTATAGAGACGATTTATTCTATGGTAAGGGTTACTAGTTTAATGACCTTTATGTTTTGGAAGATGAACCATCTAGACACAGGTCGATCTATAACGTAAGTACCAAGCGGTTTAAGCCGAACGACTTAAACCCGACCTATCTCTGACATTGTCGACTTGGCCACATCAACGAGAAACGCATTGCGAAGCTTCATTCTGATGGACTTCTTGATTCTTTTGATTATGAGTCAATTGAATCATGCGATTCTTGTTTGATGGGCAAGATGACAAAATCTCCTTTTTCTAGAAAAGGAGAAAGGGCTACAGAGTTGCTAGAACTCATACATAGTGATGTATGCGGTCCTATGAGCTCGCCCGCTAGAGGAGGTTATATGTACTTTGTTACGTTTACTGATGATTTCAGTAGGTACGGTTATGTCTACTTGATGAGACATAAGTCTGAAACGCTTGAATTGTTCAAGATTTTCAGAAACGAAGTGCAGAACCAACTTGGCAAGACGATCAAGTTGCTTCGATCTGATCGAGGTGGCGAGTATATGAGCCAAGAGTTCACTGACTATCTGGCAGATTGTAGGATTGTCTCACACCTGACTCCACCTGGAACGCCACAGTGGAATGGCGTGTCTGAGAGGAGGAACCGGAGCCTATTAGATATGGTACGGTCAATGATGAGTCAGGTCGATCTTCCTAAATCCTTTTGGGGTTACGCCTGGGAAACGACAGCGCTTATACTGAACAATTGTACAACAAAGTCGGTTCAGAAGACTCCATATGAGATATGGACTGAGAAGCGTCACAGGTTAGCATTTATGAAGATTTGGGGATGCGACGTTTATGTGATACGTCTGGCTTCTGATAAGCTATCCGCCAAATTTGATAAATGCATATTTGTGGGTTACTCTAAGGAAACTAAAGGGTACTGGTTCTACAACCCATCCGAGAACAAAGTGTTTGTTGCTCGGAATGGATCCTTCTTGGAGAGAGAGTTCGTCTCCAAGAGAGTCAGTGGGAGTAGAATAGATCTCGAAGAAGTTCGAGAACCACAAATAGTCGAAGAACCGAACGAACAGGTCGAAACAGTCCAACCTGTATCACGAGTTGTTGAGACAGCACCTCCTAGTGAACCTCGGAGATCTGGTAGAATTCACCAAGAGCCTACAAGATATGGTTTTCTTGTGACTGGAAACGACGAACTCATGTTGTTAGAATATGACGAGCCTACGTCGTATTCAGAGGCTGTAGCGAGTTCCGATTCCGAGAAATGGCACCAGGCCATGGAGTATGAGATGTAATCCATGTATGACAACAAAGTGTAGACTTTAGTCGATTCGTTCGATGGTATTAAGACCATTGGATGCAAGTGGGTTTTCAAGAAGAAAACCGACATGGATGGCATCGTGCATACCTATAAGGCACGACTCGTCGCGAAAGGGTTTCGGCAGATTTATGGTATAGACTATGATGAAACCTTTTCACCAGTTGTGATGCTTAAATCCATACGGATTCTGCTGGCCATAGCTGTATTATGACTACAAGATATGGCAGATGGACGTAAAGACCGCATTCATTAACGAGAATTTGCTCTAGGATGTGTACATGACATAACTCGAGGGTTTTGTTGATCCTAAGAGTCCGAGGAAGGTGTGCAAGCTTCAGAGATCCATTTATGGACTGAAGCAGGCTTCGAGGAGCTGGAATCTTCGATTTAACGAGGCAGTCAAAATGTTTGGCTTCCTGCAAAACGAAGATGAGTCATGCATTTAGAAGAAGGTCAGTGGGAGCGCAGTGGTTTTCCTTGTGCTATATGTAGATTATATTGCTCATCGGAAATGATGTTCCTACTTTGCAAGGAGTAAAATCCTGGCTAGGATCAGTCTTTTCGATGAAAGAATTAGGAGAAGCCGCGTATATTCTAGGCATCAAGATCTATAGAGATAGATCGAGAAGGCTTCTTGGCCTAAGTCAGAGTACATACATTGACAAGGTCTTGAATCGGTTCAAGATGCAAGACTCCAAGAGGGGTGCATTGCCAATGGGACATGACATGACTCTTAGCAAGACTCAGTGTCCAAAGACACAGGATGAGCAAGAGCGGATGAGTAGGATCTCATATACCTCGGCAATTGGATCCATCATGTACGCCATGTTATGTACTCGTCCGGATATATCATATGCATTGAGCATGACTAGTAGATATCAGTCTACACCAGGTGAGGCTCACTGGATTGCGGTCAAGAACATCCTCAAGTACTTGAGAAGGACTAAGGATTTCTTCTTGGTGTATGGCGGATTGGAAGACGAGCTCGCTATAAGGGGTTATACAGATGCTAGTTTCCAAACCGACAGAGATGACTTCAGATCGCAGTCAGGTTACTTTTTTCTGCCTGAATGGTGGGGCTATCAGTTGGAAGAGTTCCAAACAGCCAACTGTGGCAGATTCAACTATAGAATCCGAGTACATAGCAGCATCAGATGCAGCTAAGGAAGCTGTTTGGATCGGGAAATTCATGGGAGACCTGGGCGTTATTCCTAGCATTGCAGATCCCATTGAGTTGTACTGTGATAATAATGGTGCGATTGCGCAAGCTAAGGAACTCCGGTCACACCAGAGATCCAAATACATACTCAGACGATTTCACTTGATCAGAGAAATCATCGATAGAGGAGACGTGAAGATAAGTAGAGTGTCGACAGATGATAATATTGCCGACCCATTGATGAAGCATCTCCCTTCGTCAAAGCATGATGGTCATGTTAAGGGTATGGGGATTAGATGCTTGTAGGATAGATCATAGAGTATAGTAGGAGATTGTTGGTTGTAATGCTCTAGGATGATATGTGGTATGACATTTGACTTTGTATTGATTCATTGATTTTATGAATGCATTACTTTTGCCGATATACGATTGGCATGTTTGTTGTATTTCGGCATCCTTGAATCATTAGAGAATGATTCTAAACTCCCTGGTCAGTTATCGTTGTGGGAACAATGATGAATTAAGACTAGCATGAGGTGTGATCTGCGCATTGGGTGCAGATCACAATCATGGGTACTCGTTGTGAACGAGTGACTGGATGACCCGCATGAGATTATCATATGGACAGAGTCATGACTTGAATCTCATACATCGGTTCATTCTTGGATCCTCAGACCTGAGATGTCTGGAGTATCTGATATGAGGAGTGGCGTGTCTTGACTCCGTCAAACGTCGTCTTTAACCGGATGATTATAACGGCGTTGATCAAATACGTTCACGAATCATATGGAGATAGTAGACATGCAATATGGGACTTGTCACCTCCTTACCAGGAGAGATATCGTTGGGCCCTCTCGTGGAAATCGGACTATGAAAAACGTGTGGTCATGCTATAGATGAAGTTGCATCTATTTTATTAATCGATTTGCCAAGGTGAGAAAGCGGTTGAACTTGAAGGGTGGCTCAAACCATGCTCTTGTTCAACTTATGATATCGTGAGCCAAAGGATCAGAATTCGAGCTGTTAATGCCTTGGTTAGATCACCTCTAACTCAATTCTAAGTGGGTGGTTATGGCGTCTTGCTAGAGACTAACTATGACTTGTGGTTCGGGAAAGGTTCCAAAGTCACTACCACTTAGAATGGGCCTACAGGGTCACATACCACTAGGGATGGACTTATACGTGAAGAATCCAAAGAATGGAAACGAGATTTGACCGAAACAAGCATGAAAAGAAGTTTTCAGTGCGTTGGTCCAGAGCTGACCAAGATTGGTCAGCCCAGGAGGTCCGAAAGTTCGGTCCGAGATCATTTGTCCAGGTCTGGTCCGGCTGACCAAAAGTTGGTCAGCCCCGGACAAGACGTTGGGTAAGGCGGACCAAGACCGAAGCCAGGCGGACCGGAAAGACGAACCAAGAGGTTTGGTCCGGAGTTGACCAAAAGTTGGTCAGCCAGACCAAACCTCCAGGTCAGGCGGTCCGAAGGGAGCGGACTAAGCTTGGTCCGCCGGACCAAGCTCTTGGTCCGGCGGATCGGGATTTGGAAATTTTTCAAAAATTCGGATTTAGGGTTTTCTAAGCTTATTTAAGTTTGGGATTTCGTCCAAACTTAATTAAGGCCGCCCTAAAACTCAGAGAAACATCCTAGAACCCTAGAGAACCTGTTCTCTTCGATTTCTATTGTCCCGGGATTGGATCTCATCTCTTGAGCTACACTTTTCTTCACTAATCCTAGCAGATTCGTTCCAAATCGTTTGGAATCCTTTCCGTCAGTGTGGATACGTGTAGAGGGACTGTAACTTCAGTCCTAGGTGATTAAGAACAGGCCCCGGATCAAACTTAACTTCAAGTTTTATTGAGAACGAGGTAAGTAACGATTCCCTCGGTGATATACACGATCTTTCGGGTTTTGCAAGTTTGGTTGCGTGTGACGCTTGACTAGGTTTAGATCTTTCTTCCGATGCATGAAACCTAGTAAACCAAACCCTAGATCGATATGATCGCATGCTAGGAACCCGTAGATTCCCCAACAAGGATGTACTATCAAATTCAATATTCCGAAACGCTGCGTTTTGTGTTTATCATCCTAGTCTTGGCTTTGCCCACTTAGAACTAATTGTAATTAGATTAATATGTGAGAGTCAACTATTAATATAAGGTTCCAAAAAATATTATTTTGGAGTCAAAATTAACACTGTAATATAATAAATATATAATTCCAAAAATATAAAAAAATTAATGCAACTAGTTATATAAATATAATAAATTTCATTCCATAATTACCATGTAGAAACAATACATACACATGAAATATTTTAAAAATCATTGTTATATCTTGTAGCACATAAACTTATATAGTCATTATTACAAACAAGAGACAAAATCAAATCAAAATCTTGGATCTTGTTTTATTCTTTTTTTCATAATTATTAACATAAATAAAAGATTAACACAAAAAACGCGGATCCTCAATCGCGATAATTTGTGTTAATAACTCTGCAGTTTCTCCGAATCTCACCATTTTTACCGGTCAAAACATTGATAGATCCCATGCGAGACATGGCAAGAGCAAAAGACTTTCTGAGATCTTCAAACCCAGAAGCAAACTCCTTCGTTATCTCCATCGTGCTTGCGTTATAGAGCAATTGCTGGTCGATGCCCAACACAGCGTTATTGGACAGTACACGAGAATAGGAAGAGTTGCTGAATCTGAAGCTGGATCCTGAATCTGGGTTTAGGAACACGAGAGGATCTGTTTGGCCTTTGTACTTTCTTGGAGGACACTGCTTTCTCAACTGGTTTACTAAGGTCTTGCTCATTGTCGGATCTGGTTTCCCAGTGTTTTGGAAGTTGTATAGCCTGTCCACGATGTGACTGCAGTGTGTCTTGCCCATTGAGTGTGCTCCTATTCAATGATTACACATAGAAAAAACCATATATATATATATATATATATATAAGTTTTGATATATCAAGAACAATTAAAAAGGGTATTTGTCAGATGTTCCCAAAAAGGATAATATTGTGGTAAACAAGGCGTTACCAAGAAGAGTTGTCATGTCCAAAATGTCAAGTCCTTTTGAACGAAAATATGACAGCGCTTGCTCCAACGAGATGGATGGTAGTGGTAGATCCACGACTGCTACGCTCGTGCCGTCTCTCCTCCCTGTAAATACTGGATAAGATGGTGCACCCGCCTGATCACAAGTTACAGCAAAATCATACCCATCAATCGATTTTCAATTTAAATAAAAAAAATCCAACGTTAAATGGTTCAATATGGCTTAATATATCCTAGCGTATATATAGTAATTGATTACGTTACCATGTGAACAGCGTCTCTAGTGGCAAGGTTGAGGATGTCGGCACAAGAAACAACTCCTGGACAACGTTCTTCAAGAACGCTTTTGATCTTATCAATGATAATGAAACCTCCAAGTCCACGATTCTGAGGAGCTGTCTTCTCCGAGTTTGGACCATCTAGAAGAACCGAACCGTCACATCCCTATAAAACACAAACATTATCACCAGCCGTACATATGTATCACCGAAATATACGTATAAAAGCCCAATATACGAAAATAACATATAACGTATACGTACATTGACCATACAATCAGAGTAGAGGAGACGAGCAAGCTTAGGAGCTATGCTTTTGTCCTGTTTGTAAAATAGTTCAACTTGGTGTCTGATATAAGCTTCTGCATCATCGCACGTATTGTGAACCTTGTAATAATGCCACGTCAGCTTTACCGGAGGGTTCAGCCCGGTCGCCGCCTCCACCATCTCCGGACCGGCGAAGCTCAACGTCACAAGGGCCAACAGCGGAAGAACCATCGCAGCTTGCTTCATTTTTCAAAATCTCGTGTGATGATAAATCCCACCGCAAAAATCCTTGTGCCTTTTGGGCGTTTTTTTGTGTTGCTGTTAATCAATCAAATCCTTTTGAGAAGGATCTTATTACTCGTGGTAGTATCTAAATATATGTGTATAGATGTGACTGCGTGTACATATGTATGTATGTGTGTGTATATATCTCGACAAGTGTGTAATAGTGGTCTATGAGTTAGGGCCTATATATACAGGTCTAGGCTACCGCTGGGGTCCACGTGAATAGACCGATTATAACGATGAGGAGAAGTTCGAATGTATGATTAGTATAATCCATGTGGTGTATTAATTTTTTGGGTTGAGTATATTAATTGTTTACGCAATGACAGAGACCGTTTTGGGGTATTATACAAGGAAGCGCGTGTAGGGCAAACGCGAGTTCACATTAATCGGCACGCTTCGATGTTCTAAATCTTTTCGTTTTCCCTCTAAGATGTAATCATAAAGTTATTAAAATCTTGCTAAATATATTTTAATTTTAAATTTTTGGTTTTATTAGTAGGTAATGCGGGTTACTTCGAATGTCAAAGAGACGTCAATGCACGTGATTTGAAGCTTGGTTTTAGGCTCTATTTGTCTGGGTATTATTATTTTATTTTTTTTGTTAACCAGGATGTTCACCTGGGCCTTCGGCCCAACCTATATCTCCTAGGTCCGGGAGCAGCCTTTAGATGCCCAGCGACAGGGGTCCAGAGAGCACCCTCCCAACCGAGAAATACTCCCTCCCTCTCCATCAGCTGGTTTCGAACTGGCGACCGGGGCCCAAGGAGCAACACCTTTTCACCACTCGGCCACCCACTGATGGGTGGGTATTATTTATGATAATGAGTTTTTAGGCTCTAATGTTGCCTCTTCTCGCCCGTCGTAAACACGAAATAATTAAAATAATATTGTTTTGAAAATAGAGCTTAATCTAAACGAGTTTAGGTTTTTGGAAAAATATTCGCATAATATTTCAGAAGGATTTACAAGGATATATATATATACAATGCTGTTAGGAGAATAAGGAAATATACAAATCAGATTTAAAATCAAATCCCGTCAATATAGTAAGTTGCTATTACGCCCCCGCAAGATCGGTATCGGATGAGAGGCCGATCTTGGAGCGAAGAACTTCAAACCGGTGTCGAGGTAGTGGCTTTGTCAAGGCGTCGGCTAGCTGGTCGGCCGAGGAGACGTGAGCAACTCGGAGTTTGTGTACCTGAACAAGCCCTCAGATGAAGTGATAGTCAATGGCAACATGCTTCATACGAGAATGAAATACCGGATTCGCATAGATATGTAGCGCCGACATTGTTACAGTAGATGACTGGCATGGTGGAGAGAGAGACACCGAGCTCGGAGAGAAGTGAGAGGAGCCATTGTACTTCTGAAGCCGTGTTGGAGACAGATTTGTACTCAGCTTCGGTGGAGGACTTGGCTGCAAAGCGTTGCTTCTTGGAGGACCATGACACGGGGTTGCAGCCAAGATAGACAATATAAGCTCCAGTTGATGTAAAATCATCTCGGTTCCCACCCCAATCAGCATCAGAGTAGGCATGGAGGGATAGGGGAGCAGAGGCCGAGAGAAACGTGCCAAGGGTGCGTGTGCCGGTAAGATATCGTAGTACACGTTTCACAACCTGCCAATGCTCCGTTGTCGGTTTGTGCATGAATTGTGACAGCTTATTGACGGGAAATTCAATGTCTGGCCGGGTCAAAAGGAGATACTGTAGACTTCCCAAGATTTGTCGATATTCTGTAGGATCATCAAGATATGTCCCAGAGTTAAGCTGCAGCACCGTAGTGGATGGCATAGGCGTCGGAACGGGCTTTGCCAAAGCCATGTTGTACTGCGAGAGAAGGTCCGTGATGTAGCGGCGTTGAGTGAGCAAGAGGCCGTTAGCGGTTCGTGACACTTCGACTCCGAGGAAAAAGGACAAGTCACCAAGGTCCTTAACCGAGAACCGCTGAGCCACCCTAGCAACAAACGCTTGAACCGAGTCCTTATTATTTCCGGTGATAATGATATCATCCACATAGACGAGGATGTAGATGATAACATTATCCCGGTTGTAAATAAACAAGGAAGTGTCCGAGAGAGAATTGAAAAACCCGCATTGAACTAGGAATCGACCTAGCTCATTGTACCATTGTGGTGCTTGTTTCAGACCGTACAGTGCCTTGTGAAGCTTGCACACAAAGGTCAGATTGCCTCGGTCAATAAAGCTAGGAGGTTGTGCAAGATAGACGTCTTCGGTCAAAGAGCCTTGGAGAAAAGCGTTGTTGACATCAAGTTGTCGGAGAGACCATCCCCTCGAAATAGCGATGCTTAGAACAACGTGAATGGTAGAATGCTTGATGACTGGATTGAATGTATCGGTATAGTCAAGACCGGGTCGTTGGTGAAAGCCCTTTGCCACGAGCCGCGCTTTGTATCTGTCAACAGAACCATTAGGTAATCGTTTAGTCCGGAAAACCCACTTACAACCGATGACATTGTAGGACGGATGAGATGCGACCAAGCTCCAAGTGCCATTGCGAATCAGCGCATTAAACTCCTCAGTCATCGCACTGCGCCATTTGGGATCTTTCAAAGCCTGCGAAACACACGTTGGTTCCAAGTCCCGAGTATGGTCAAGGCTGGCTGAAAAGGTGAGTTTTTGAGTGGGTTTGGTGATGTGGTTTTTGGACCTTGTGGTCATGGGATTAGTGTTTGTGGTGTGAGTGGGTATGGCGGAAGGTTCAAGGCTCGGTGGTAATGGTGAGGTGGATGATGATGATGGAGCTGTGTTTTTATGGAGAGTTTGGTAAGGCTGAAGGAGCGGATGATGGCGGTGGCTCGGTAATGGATACATTTGGCTGTGGCTCGGTGATGAGTGGCGCCGAAGACTCAGCTCGTTGTGGTGAAAAAGCCAAACGTGGGGACGTTGTAGGAGCCGATACCGGTGTGATGGATGTAATGCTCTAGGATGATCATACGATATGAGAACTATGTATGATACGATGTATTTATTAGATGAATACATTATTTATTCATTATTTATTTTGCATATTTGATAAATAATGATAATCCCTGGATCGTTACGAACGATCCTAAATTCCTTAGTCGTTTGTCATTGTGGGAACAATGATGAATTAAGACTAACATGAGGCGTAATCGATGATCATACGTATTGGATACGGATTACGGTCATGGGTACTTGTTTGGAACAAGTGACTGGATGACTCGCGTGAGATTGTCTATTGGATATAATCCATGACTTGAATCTCACTTGATGGTTCACTTTAGATCCTCAGACCTGAGATATCTATTGTATCCATCATGACGAGTAATGTACTTTGACTGCGTCAAACGTCATCTTTAACCGGATGATTATAAAGGCGTGGCTCGGGTACATTATGAATCATGTAATGGATAGTAGATAGTCAAGATGGAACTTTGTCCCTCTCGAAAGAGAGAGATATCGCTTGGGCCCGTCGTAGGAGTGAGACTGTGGAAATGTGTGGCCACACTATAGATGAATGTCATCTATCTCTAACAGTCTACTCGGG